TGGGCGTGACCTAGAGAGGGGTTGCCGGCGATTCGTGGTTGGCTTGTGGGGGCGGAGCCTGGGGCGGGGTGGAGCGGAGACGGGTCCGCCCCGGCAGGAGAGCGAGCGGAGCGGGGCGGGCGGGATAGGGAGGTGAGAGATGGGTGTCGGCCGTTGGAGGGGCAGCCCTCCCGGCCTTTCTCTCGGGACAACTCGGACAAAGCTCCGTGAGCCCCTGGTTATAGGGGCCCGGGGCCTACATCGAATAGTTTTTAGAAGAATGGCTGCCCTAAAGGGGGTGTTTTTCGCTCCGGCTGGTGACCCCACCGTAACGCCAAATTCTCCACCAAAAAACTCACACTAAAACCTAGGGAACTGGCCCATAATCCAGCAGACACGACAAGTTCAGTAAATGATCGTGCATCCGGCTGTTTGCTGGAAGATACCAGGAGGATTAGGGGAGGGTGGGGGGAGAAAGGGGGAATGGATCACAAGGATCAACCTCGTAAAGTATGAAAATAATACCCTATAACTTATCAAGGGTTCATGAGGGAGGGCCGGTGGGGGAGGGAGGGGGAAGAAACGGGGAGCTGATCTCAGGGGCTCAAGTGTGAAGAGAAGGCTTTGAAAATGATGGCAGCATATGTGCAAATGTGCTTGACACAATGGAAGGATGTATGGATTGTGCTAAGAGATGTAAGAGCCTCCAATAATAAAAAAAGAACCCCCAATAAAAGTAGTATTTAATTTAAAAAAATGATCTGTGGAATAGCAACTTAGCCGGAGTTCTGGGGAAAATCCCTTTATCAGATAGTTTGCCCTGTCATTCCATTCGTCCCTGTGCTATGTGAAGCCCTCTCATACCTATAGTCTGAAATCTAAGTTTCTCCAAGGTTTGTAACTGAAAGAGGAAGGAGGATGCAGAAGGTGATTTTGACCAAGACACATATGCTGTGTCTGAAGCCCACATGTACTTACAATATGATTTTGTGAAAGGGTGTACTGTTTATGGCCCCATTTCACAGATAAGGAAGTCAAGGCCAGAGAGGTTAAGTCCCAGTATGTCTAAAGTGACCCTGCTGGGAAAAGGATGGGCCAGGATTTTACTTTAAACAAGAAAAAGATTGCTTTGGGAGTGGGAAATGGTCCCTGACCCTCGTGTATGGGTTTGAATTGTACAAACACCTAACTGAAAAGGTCCCATCACCCCAGCCTGTGGTCACAGCCCCGCAGCATGCCACTGGCCTGCCAGGAGCACCCAGTTCTGAGGGCCAGGCCCTGTGAGCTTGACCACACCCAGCTCCTCCAGAAAGCTCTCACCTCCACCCAGAGTCCACTCCACAGGCCCTGGCCATGCAGGCTTCCTCCCAGGACCGACCTGGCTTTGGAGGCATGGGAGAGGACTCCTGACCCATGTGGGTTTTCCCATTGAAAACACGTGCCCACAAGGAAGAGACGAGCCAGTCAGGGTATAGTATAGCACTGATGAAACATACAACTTTCCTCTAGTTCTTTAATGTTTCCTCTCCCCCCCACTACTATCATGACCCAACCCTACCTTTACAAATCTGGCTAGACTAGAGCATGTACATCGGTAAGAGCTGGAAACACTGGGAATCCAGGACAGAGAAACCCCTCAGGACCAGTAATGAGAGCAGTGATACCAGGAGGGGAAGGGGAAGGTGGGGGAGAAAGGGGAAACGATCACAATGATCTACATATAACCCCCTCCCAGAGGGACGGACAACAGAACAACGGGTAAAGGGAGACATAGGTCAATATAAAACATGAAAAAATAATAATTTACAAATTATCAAGGGTTTATGAAGGAGGGTGGGGGAGGGAGGGGAAAATTAGCTGATACCAAGTGCTCAAGTAAAAAAATGTTTTGAAAATGATGACAGCAACATATATACAAACGTGCTTGACACAATGGATGCATGTATGGATTGTGATAAGGGCTGTATGAGCCCCCAGTAAAATGATTAAAAAGAAAACACATGCCCAGTACCTTGTGGTCAGGTGACCAGATGGTTAGCGACCCAGTGAGCCAAAGCATTCCCTCATCCATCCAGCAAGCATCCACTAAGCACCTACTGCACAGATATGCTGTAAGCTAAGTACTGACTTGGCCAGGGTGCCGAAAAGAGAGTCCTTGCCTTCCAAAATGAGCTAGTTCAGTGAGTGGGTATGGTTTACTGGCCGGACAGAGACTGGCGGAACCCTAGGACTACCATGGTTCTTAGTCTGACTCAGGCCTGGAACAAACTCACCCCCATGGCTCAACCTCCAGCCAAACAATACTTTAAAATGCCATCAACTCAATTCAGACCCACAGAGCCAGAAATACCTCTTAGGGTTTTAGAGACAGCCTGGTCTTTCTCCCAATGCACCAGGACTGCTCCTCCGGGCCAAACAGTGGACAGGCTACTCAGGGCACAATAACTCCTGAGAGGTCCCTGCTCCTTAGGACAGCCAATCAGATAAGATCAAAAGGTCAACACTCACCCAGAGATGAAGCAGAGAGGGTTAGGAAAGAAGGATGAATGGGGACAACAAACACAGATTTTTAAAAAATCACTTTATTGGGGGCTCATACAACTCTTATCAAAATCCAAAAACAAACACAGATTTTAAAGTTGGGTGGGTGGGTGCAGGGTGTGGGTCAAAGGTGGAGGTGGGCAGCCATTCTTCCAAGGGTCTTAAAACAGCGACTGAGGGAGGGAAGAGCTATGGAGGAGGGGGAGGAAAGAGCGGGTCTGGATGGCTCGGGTGGGGTTTGCAGAGCCCTACCCAGGCCTGGAGTCCTGAGAGGGCAAGAAAGGGAGGAGGAACCTCAGGTCAAAGAGGAAGAACTAGGAAGTCAAGTGTGTGGTCTCACTTGAATTTGAGCCCTGGGGTTATTTACCCTCCCCTTTCCTTGACCTCCTCTTCACACTGCTTATCTGCTGAAGGGCAGGCCACAAGCTGAGAGCTTTTTAAGGAGGAGCTACCTATGTGGGGGTTTGAACCAGCTCATCCCGGTTCAAGGATTCAGCCCCATTCAGGAAGGGACCCTGGAGCAGACCTGGATCTTTAAAGTCTGAGGGAACTGGCGTGATACCGGAGTGGGAGACAATAATTACGGGTCCATGCCCTGCTAGACGTGCAATCTCCCTCTTAGAGAAGGGCACACGTGGCCCGGCAATCTCTTGGTGCCAAGTGGGGACACATGCCCAGGCCAAAGACGGCAGCCCCCTCCCCACTGGATGTGCGCACTCTCCCTGGTCCTGCCAGAGACCCAGGCTCCTGAAGGCTCACCTCTCTGTGTCTGTCTGTCTGTCTCTCTCTCGTCTCCCAGCCCTGGGCTCTAACCCACCGTCTCCCCCACTCAGGGCATCGTCCCTGCTCACACACATGGGGTGACGCAGCCCTGGAGAGCTGGATGATTAACTGCTACCCCAGTTACTGCACGCTTGACATCATTGGCGGCACTCCTGGGCCCAGCCCACCAAACCTGAGCGCTTTCCCTGGCTTGTCCCCAGAATGGCCTCAAAGGCTATGCTCATGGGAGGGGTGGCCCCAACAAATGGATTTGGGATGGGGGGGCGGGGGGGGGGCACACTCCTGATTCTTCCCCGACCTGCGCAGTGCCTTCTCACTGGCTGAAGAGGCTGGGCAAGCCCCACCGGGCCTCCTGTCTCTTTTAAAACAACTGCTCCCGGCCACTGAGAGATTCCAACTCAGACAGGACAGACTACAGTGCCCCAGGGGCTTCCTGAGGTTGTGGTCTTAAAAAAAAAAAAGTTTTATTGGGATTTGGGTGAAAGTTTACGGAGTAAATCAGTTGCTTGCAGCCCCTGTACAGTAACTGCACTCCCTCTTCCTCGTTTGTTTCCCGTGTACCTTCCTCCCCCCCACCCCTCCTCTTCCTCCTTCCCATCCTTCTGACCCTCCAGCCCTTCTTCCTGGGCACATGGTTAGCCTGTGTCACCGGGGGTCCGGCTCAGTTACCCAACACCTATCGCCAGAGAGCCCATTCTGACTCACAAAGACCCCAATCGGGGTT